AGTAAGACAGCCTCACTAATACAGGTGGCAGTAAGACAGCCTCACTGATACAGGAGGCAGTAAGACAGCCTCACTAAGACATCACCAACACTCAATAATCACATCCCACTTGGACGATCGCCTGTTTTATGCGATGTAACATAACGTATCACAAAGTAACGTAAAGTAACATAACATAACATAACATAACATAACATAACATAACATAACATAACATAACATAACGTAACGTAACGTAACGTAACCTGGTCATTTAACTTATCATATAAAGTGTATAAAACAGACGATCGTCCGGGTGGGATGACACCCACTCAGTGACCACGGACTATCATTAGTATATTATCCTCACGATCTTGTTATTTATCTCATACGAAAATTGGTACTACAACACACCTCTAGTAGTAGTAGTAGTAACACAGGCCGCCCCAACACACCTCTAGTAGTAGTAGTAGTAACGCAGGCCGCCACAACACACCTTAGTGAAGGAAATAACAATAATAACATCAGCCGCCACAACTCTTCCTCACAACAACATTCGAATTCTCTGCCGCCCTTGTTATCTTGTCCGTGATTGGCTGCTGCTGACCACCCTCAACCAATAGCGCGCTGTCTTATGTAACCATTCAGCTCTACTGAATGTCTGATGGTATAAATATTTTTACCTTTTCCACACACACAGATATATATATATATATATATATATATATATATATATATATATATATATATATATATATATATATATATATATATATATATATATATATATATATATACATATTCGCAGATATCTTGATAAAAATCACAAGGAAAAAGGAACAACGGAGACCTTAGCTTTCGTCTTTGCCCAAGACATCTCTTCAGAGGCACCGTTTCCCTTTTCCCGTGTGATTTTATCAAGATATATATATGGGTTGTGTGTGTATATATATATATATATATATATATATATATATATATATATATATACATATATATATATATATATATATATATATATATATATATATATATATATATATATATATATATATATATATATATATATATATATAAACGAGGAGGAGAACCAGGGAAAACAGACATTTTGTCTAAGTTGGGTTTCTTTAATCACTAACGTTTCGGAAAAATCATTTTCCATCATCAGAACCCAGTAAACAGCTGCCAAACAGGGAGATACTGTGGGGTACGGGTTGTTTGGTTCACACTCAGGATGGGATGGAGAAAGAAAACTCACAATGTGCTCTTTGTATACATGTTGTATTGGATGTACAATGCAGCTTGGTGCTGGGAAGGCAGCGTGGTTACAAGGGTTGAGTAGAGACAGCTGGTTGGTGAGGGTGCTCAGAGGAGGACAGTGTGGGGTATGAGATTGTTTTGGTTCACACTCAGGATTGGATGGAGAAAGGAAACTCACGATGTGCTCTCTATATACATGTTGTATTGGATGTACAATGCAGCTTGGTGCTGGGAAGGCAGCATGGTTACAAGCGTGATGTAGAGAGAGCTGGTTGGTGAGGACGCTCAGAGAAGGACAGCTTGTGGGTCGCCATGCTCGCCAGCGGGAGAGAGGACCGCCAGGCAGGCGGAGGTGTTGCTGGCTGGTTGGTGTAGGTAGAAAGAGAGACAGATCACCACGAGGTCAGGTCTTAAATAGCGGGGGTAGGCGTGGCTTAGCAGTTGACCCCTGCTCCGTGATGTATGGCGGCGCTGGTTGACCTAGACCACGAGGCATACACTGGGGAATTGGTGGGGTCGGCTAGGCAGCGACAAACAGCGTTTGTAGGGGAGAATTCCACTACAGCTTGTGGGTCGCCATGCCCGCCGGCGGAGCGAGGCCGCCAGGCAGGCGGAGGTGTTGCTGGCTGGTTGGTGTAGGTGGAAAGAGAGGGATCACCACGAGGTCAGGTCTTAAATAGCGGGGTTAGGCGTGGCTTAGCAGTTGACCCCCGCTCCGTGATGTAAGGCGGCGCTGGTTGACCTAGACCACGAGGCATACACTGGGGAATTTGTAGGGTCGGCTACTCAAGACAAACAGCGTTTGTAGGGAAGAAATCCACTACATTACTACCTCCTGGGAAGATATTGGAAGCATAATGTGTTGTCTAATAATAAACCCTGCTGCCATATGACATCACAAAAATTGTGACCAAGCACCAGGTTGCTCATCTATCTTCTGTCTCATTTACACACAATTTATATATATATATATATATATATATATATATATATATATATATATATATATATATATATATATATATATATATATATATATTTCATTTAGATCCACAATGGAAACGTGGATAAGATAAATCTTGATAAAATCATACGGGAAAAGGGAAACAACGGAGCACCTCATCTGTACCTGTAACAAGTGGGGTACCACAGGTCAGTGTATTGGGCCCGCTGTTGTTTGTTTGTTTCATAAATGACATGCCTGACGTTGTACACTCCTCCATACAAATGTTTGACGATGATGGCAAGTTATTTCGGGAAATTAAGAACCAAGCGGACTGTGAAGAGCTGCAGAAGGACCTGTGTGGGCTCCAGGAATGGTCGAAGAAATGGCTGCTGAGATTCAATGTCACGAAGTGTAAGAGGATGCACCTGGGGCGTACCAACGGTAAGGAGGCATATCATATGTCCCAACGGGATGAAGAAAATGCACTAGTTGAGACTGTGTGTGAGAAGGACCTAGGTGTGTATGTTGACAATGAGCTGAAGTTCTCGGGCCATTGTGAGAAGAAGGTAAATCAGGCAAATAAATTATTGGGTCTTATAAGAAGGTCGTTCAGATATCTAGACGGTCCGTCCCTCGTGACGATCTTCAGGAGTGAAGTGCTTCCCCATCTGGAGTACTGTCACCCCATCTGGTCCCTCGAGATATGCTAGGGACTGTCAGTTGGTTGAAAATGTTCAGCAGTGGGCCACCAGACTGGTGCCTGTGCACTTCGGCACCTCAGCTACCCTGAGAGATTGGAGCGCCTGAACTTGCCTAGCTTATACTACAGACGGGCAAGGGGGGACCTAGTTGAGGTGTATAAGCATCTCAGGGGGCACTACTCAGTTGAGTGTCCTTACTTGGAGCTGGCGGACGCTCGCCCCACAAGGGGTCACAGCTCAAGATTGAAGAAGCTGCAAGTCCAGATAACCGTGAGGGCAAACTTTTTCGGAGTGAGGGTTGTAAACTCTTGGAACAATCTACCAGAGAGTGTTGTGACGGCACCGAGTGTGAGCTCTTTCAAGAGAAGACTTGACCAACACTGAAGCGGGTTCAGGTACATTCAGGAGCCGGTGCATGCCCAGTATTTGCCAACAGTGCGTGACGGAGACGTGACCGATCGCCCAAGCGGCTAACAAGCCGATCAGTGGCGAAGAGGAAAAAAGTAAAAAAAGTTAGCTTAGCTTTCGTCTCGTGCTCCGTTGTTTCCCTTTTCCCGTGTGTTTTTATCAAGATATATATATATATATATATATATATATATATATATATATATATATATATATATATATATATATATATATATATATATATATATATATATATATATATATATATATGTAACCGCCAATCAGACGGTTAGAGGGTGAATAAAACTTCTCACGTCGTACACGAACATTATAATTCGGTCAAACCTGTTGAATACAATTCATTTAGTATTTCAAATAAGTCATACATAGGCACTCTTACATAAATGTTTAATCCAATATATATGGCTATGTAATTAGTCTAATCTTAACACAAAAACAATGAACAGTCTACCTGTGTACACAATAAGTACTAGTTAAACTTACGTGTTGAAAGTCTAGAGAGAAGCCAGTGTAGGTGTTGACTCTAAGATATGAGCAGCTATACTGAAATGCCCACCCTATAGCCTGGCCCCTTGGCTGGTCAGCTATGGCTGAGTCAGGTGATTATAATTATACATAAACAAACTCCCTTCACACCCTCCAACCTCCTTCTGGGCCTCTCATCTTCAACCATCTCAACACTCTACATTGCATACGGGCACGCACGCCCAATAAGCATGACACGAGTTACAGCCTAACATAACATTTGTTTATATGTCATCATAATTATGTACCGCTTGCGGTAACACCCACTCCGTTGAGCGTTCACGCTCAAAACCAGATCAGACCTTTGATACTTGAGTTTGTCATGTTCATGCGACTAAGCTGCCCTCAGGCTGGTGGTATTTAACTTGGTCACGTCCTTGTGACTAAGCTGCCCTCAGGCTGGTGGTATTTAACTTGGTCACGTCCTTGTGACTAAGCTGCCCTCAGGCTGGTGGTATTTAACATTAATTTTGTCACGTTCTGGTGACTATGCTGCCCTCAGGCTGGTGGTATTTAACTTTGTCACGTTCTCGTGACTAAGCTGCCCTCAGGCTGGTGATATTTAACTTCGTCACGTCCTTGTGACTAAGCTGCCCTCAGGCTGGTGGTATTTAACTTTGTCACGTCCTTGTGTCTAAGCTGCCCTCAGGCTGTTGGTATTTAACTTTGTCACAGTCTTGTGACTAGGCTGCCCTCAGGCTGGTGGTACTTATCAGTTCCTTAGGACATCTCGGTCCTTTGCCGTTCGGACATCACCATCTTCATGTGTGGATACCCAATTCATTCTCCTGGCCGACTCCGTCAACCCTTTCCATTGCTCCCTCCAACAAGCATAATTTTGTCACAGGTCGCAACATTGTGGACGTCGTCGTCTTAACCACTGCCTGTCGGACAAGTCCATCCTCGCCAGCCTTGACTTCCATCACTCGACCAAGGTGCCATTTGTTGCGTGGACTATTTGCTTCTACTATAATGATTAGGTCACCAGGGCGAAAGTTGTGCCGTGGTCTGAAATGCACTTGTTGAGTTCTGAGTTGAGGGAGGTACTCCGTCAGCCAGCGCTTCCAAAATTGATCTGCAAGGTACTGAACATGCTTCCACCTTCTGTGGTATGTATCGCCTATTGACCTTCCACCTAAGAGAAGATTTCCCTTTTGACTTTAGTGCAAATGATCAGCAGGAGTGAGAGCCTTTGGTTCATTTGGAGTGTTTGGAACCGGGGTGATTGGCCTCTCGTTAACTATGGCTTCCACTTCACAGAACAGTGTTTGCAGACGTTCATCGTCTAAGATTTGTGAGCCCACAATCGCCTGCAGAACCTTCTTTACTGTGCGAATCTGCCTTTCCCATACTCCCCCCATGTATGGGGCAGCTGGTGGAGTGAAGACCCAGTCAATATCTACTTTCAGTAAGGCACCTCTGAGTCTGTCATCTTGCTCCCAACTTTTCACTGCCAGTTTGAGCTCATTGGCTGCCCGTACCATGTTTGTCCCATTATCCGACCTAATACGCTCTGGTGTACCTCTGCGTCGTGAGAACCTTGTTATTGCGTTGAGGAAGGCATCTGCGTCTAATGAGGCCACGACTTCTAGATGAACAGCCCTAATAGTTAGACATGTAAACAGACATCCCCAGCGCTTAACCTGTTTCCTCCCTACCTTGATAATGAATGGACCAAAACAGTCCGTTCCAGTGTAAGCAAATGGAGCCTTTCCAGGAGTGACACGATCTATTGGTAAGTCAGCTTGCCTTTGATGCCGACTTCTCCAGTTGTTCCGTCGGCACACTACACAGCGTCGTATGATTCTATCAAGCAAGCGTCTGCCCTGGGGAATCCAATACCTTTGCCTCACACACGCCATCGTGTGTTCTCGTCCGGCATGTCCGGCTCTCTCTTCGTGCATCTCCCGCACTATGATTTCGGTGATGAGGTGGTCTCTAGGCAGCAAGATTGGCTCCTCATCACTTCGCCCAAGAAGGGTTCCTTTAATTCTTCCCTTTGATCTGAGCAACGTTCGCTTGTCCAAGTAAGGTACCAGTTTATATAGCTTATTGTCCTTCGGCTGCTGACCCTTTATGACAGTTTGGATTTCTTTCTCATAAGCCTCTTTCTGCACCAATCTTTTAATTGTCTGCTCATCGATAATCTGTTGACTGCCAAGAGCAACTACAGATCTCACAATTGTACTTTCATTCACCTCAGTAAGTCGTTCCAGAACCGCTGGCAGTTCCTTTCCCTTTGGCCACCGTTCTTCAACACTGGGTAGAAAGTCAGGACCACCGTATCCACCGAGATCCTGCAACCAGGTCAGGACAGGTAATCCCCTGGATTTGCATCATCTGCTGGGTTCAACGGTGTGTCTCCACTGGTCAGTTCTTTACAGCTCTTGTATGACTGCTATCCTGTGTTGGCTACAAACGTTTGAAATCGTCTGCTCGAATTGGCGATGTACTGCAAGACTAGCATGCTATCCGTCCAAATATGATTCATGTATGGTCATGGTCATTTTCTCGGCGAATCGTTCGATCGGCGTTCACTGCCAGGACAGCTGCACAAAGTCTCAGCCTTGGTATTGTCAGTTGCTTGAGTGGGGCCAGCTTGGCCTGATCCGTACCTGAAGAGCACTGGATACTTCCGCCAGAGTCTACCATTCTCAGATAAGGTCACCGCACGTAAGCGGCCTGCGATGCATACGCCCAGAAGGTGTGCAACTGTGCTGAGATGATTTCTTTAGCACATGCTGTTTTAGGCATCTGGGTGCCCTTAATTTCCTAGGTGGGCAGGTTCTCTAGCCAGGTGCTCAGGTCGTGTGACCCCAACAGCCGACAAGGTTCGTCCCACCTAATCCCAGCGCCTGCATTCACACTGAAATAATATTTTTAGCCCTGATGATGAATGGGGCCACGAACCCCAGTGGGTCATAAATGGGAACTGACCAGGCTTAGTACTCCTCTCCTGGTCGCTGGCGAGTTTGGTTGCACCTTGATGGTGAGCTGATCACCTTCCAGGAGCCTAACCCCCAGGGCTCGCTCCATTGGCAATTTGTCTTGCCTCAGATCAATTTCCTTCAGTGCATTTTGCCTCTCCTCCGGTGGAATAGTAGCCTCCTTTGTGATTACTGGCCCCTTAGTTAACCGAAATCACTCCACGCGCCAACAGTCTTCGAAGCTGACACGCTAACATTGATGCTTCGTGCAGTGAGTCAGCGACATGAGCAGGTCGTCAACGTAGAAGTTGACTTCCTTGCGCCACCATATCAGGAAACTCGGATCTGTGGTCTTGGAATGTGCGCCGGAGAGCGTAAGTTGCACATGAAGGCTCCACACCCCACCAAAGATGTGCACCTTCTCATCCTGTAGGTTACTGGCTCTCTCAGGTCCCATTCTCACCAGAGAATCTTAGCATCTCGATGTTCTGGCTACATGGATTTGATGGTACATAGCCTCCAACATCTGCCATGATGGCTGTAGTTCCTTGGCAGAAACCTAAGCAGGACTCCAAGTAATTTGTTGTTGAAGTCTGGACCTTGTAGTACCTGGTCGTTCAGCAATGTCCTTTTGTGTTTTGGCTGCACAGTCAAAACTATCGCGTACTTTGTTTGGCTTATTTGGGTTCAACACCAGGTGATGATGAGGCAGATACCAGACCAGTCAGTATCTGGCTCAACTGGCACTTAGGCACTGATTCGAAGCATCACTTTAGCAGAAGCAGTTTTATTTATTTCCTTCATTATCCTTGTATGCGCTGACCGTGCGTCCTTAGATGCGTCTCCTTCAAAGCCCATGTCGACGCTCCATACGGCCTTGTTGTTTTAGGAGTTCCGTGTTCTCATTACGGAACGGTATGGGAAGTAGTAATGACCACCAGTTTGATGCCTGTCTCCTGACCATAGCCTCAACACTCTTTTTGTCCTCAAGTGAATGAGCTGCTGACTGCAGGCTCCTGTGTCCCCGCACCAGCTCCCAAAACGCTTGTCTTTTCCAGGCGGGTTTCAGGACTCACGGCAGTTTTCGGTCATCAGGCATCCTGGCGTGCAAACTCCTTGTGCGTCTTGATTGCCCCACCGGTCCATTTACTGTCAACCCAGTCGCGTTTTTTATGGCGAATGGCATTCCATCCCTTCCTGCTCTGACCTCAAAGGGGTACCAGGGTCTGTGGCACATCTTGTCCTATCAGGAGTTTCTATGCTGTTGCTCTGCAATTCTGGTAATTCCTCCTAGCAGATGGGTCCACCTTGAGATATCACTTGTATTCGCTACGAATTCCACTCCTCGCAGATGGGTCCACCTTGAGATATCACTTGTGTTCGCTACAGAGTTGTGCAGCGTTGTGGGGAAATTTTGTATAATGAGTACTTTCGGGATAAGCATGGTTCTGCCTCGTTTCATGCCTGCGCCAACCACTTCTAGATCTACCTCCGCAGACTCGAGTATCATCTCTTGGGCAAGTGTACCCATGGTTATCAGGGTAGATGTCCCTTTCACCCTTAGTTTCTGTGCCAGATCTTTGGTGCAATACGACCTATCGCTGCCTGAGTCCAAGAGAGCTAAAGTTCTGATGTGATTTCGTTGATGTGAGTCCTTTCCCCGAATCTTCACACTCACTATGGGCAGTACAATCTTGGCATTTTTCGTCGATAGTCAGATGTCGCTTTCGCAGCTGTATGGGTTTTCATGGGCGTCCTTTGTCCCTGTAGCATAGACATGGCCTATTTTTCCGGCCATGTACGAACTGTCGTTGGCTTTCTGGGCCATGCCACCATCAGAGGTGCCTGCCACTGACTCCTGTTTCACGAGACCTTGAAAATTTCGCTTTACGCCACCCTTGCGTGTGTTTGACATACTTGCAGTAAGTGCCTCCCTTCGTTCTTGATGCAACAGTCTAGAATGCTTCTCTTTGCACCCATCAGTGCCACACCTGAAGCGTGACCAACACTCAGCAACAAGGTGGCCCACTCTCAGACACAAGAAACAGCAACGTAATCTTTTTACCCTCTCTAACCTCTCCCTCACTGACATGCTACAGAATTCGTCGCACCCTGCTAATCCATGTGCTCTGGAACACACTGGGCACGAGCCTTTTCCAGAGCTTGTTTCTTCTCCATTGCCTTTCGCTTCACTGATAGTCATTACAGACTTTACATTGATATTTGGGTTATTTACAAAGCAATATCACTTCAGTCAATTATGACTGCTAATTGTGTTCTGCACTTACGTCAGACAACAATAATGACATAGTGTTTTCATTCTCATATGCACTACACTGGGAGTGATGAAGATCACCCAGACAAGACTATTTTCTGGACTAACCAGGTTTAACTATTATCTATGCGAGAAGTACACGGACGTTGCACTGCACTTACTCGCCACTGGATACACACACATCCACACCCACACGCACACACTCGTTCCTCGAGTGACGAGTGTTGGTGAGCCAAGCTACACTAAGAGTGGCTGAGCTCACTCTGACAACATTATTTTCTTCAATAACAAAAGGTTCAAGTATTATCGCCATTATAAATCTACAGGCGTTGCACTGTAATCCGTGGCGCTGGGAACACGCGCGCGCGCACGCACACACTCACGCGCATCCCTCCAGTGGGTTGAGTTGAGTTGACCTTGGTTACTGCTGCCCGCGCGTTGGTTCAAGGTAGTGTAGGGTTTCGTGATATAATGTTGTCTAGCACTCAGGATGGATGGAAACTCTAAGGTGGTGGTTTTCTTATATTATATAAGTTATATGGTAGACAGTCTGGTGCTGGAGATGCCGTGTGGTGAGGAGCTGCTCAGTAGACACGTTCGGTGAGTAGCGTGTTGAAGGAGGTAGATGTGCAGGAGCTTCGTTAGAGAAGATGTTGCCTGTTGCTGGCCTCCAGGTTGAATGAGAACGGGACAGCGAGGAGCTTGCTTGGAGGAGGTGTTGCGTGTTCAGGAACCGAGAGCAGAAATGAGAGAGCTGGTTGGTGAGGACGCTCAGAGAAGGACAGCTGGTGGGTCGCCATGCTCGCCGGCGGGAGAGAGGACCGCCAGGCAGGCGGAGGAGAAGCAAGGGCTGCCAAGCAGCGGCGGAGGAGGAGGTGTTGCGTGTTCAAGAAGAGAGGCCAGAATGAATCTCAATGGAGAGACAGAGCTTATATACACAGCAGCCGTGAGTCACCCGTGAGTCAAGCGTGGGAAGTCGCGGTCTTTTGACTCTGTTGCTAGGATACTGTGGCATCTGGTGACGCCCCCTTCCCCCCTGGGCCGCTCGTTTGGTTGCTAGGGAAGACGTAGCAGGTGGCATGCGGCTACGCAGTTGTAGGGGAGACGTCCACTACAATACTCCCCCCTTCCCTCCAGGCGGTGTAGGAGACTTGTTGTCTGTAGAGTTGCTTAGCACATGTGAGGCAGAACGGGCGGTGCATGCCTCATGTGAGACAACGGCGATGGCGTGGATGAGCCGGTCGCTGGATACAACTGTCTATATACACACTATCTGTGGGAGAGAGGGAGAAAACGGGTGTGTGGAGGCGATGAATGTTGTACTTCCCTCATGACAGGTACAGAGTCGTCAGATGCGCCTGCTGGGGTGTGGACCTGGGTCAGGAGCAGGGGCTGCGTCAGCAGAAGCGGATTAGGGCTCGTGACAGCAGCTGGGTCCACGACAGCAGCAGGGTACAGGACATTAGCAGGGAGTACCTGAGGGAGAAAAGAGGGTGTGTGTGGAGGCGATGAATGTTGTGCTTCCCTCACGACAGGTACAGGGTCGTCAGATGCGCCTGCTGGGGTGTGTGTGGGCCTGGGTCAGGAGCAGGGGCTGCGTCAGCAGAAGCGGATAAGGGCTCGTGACAGCAGCTGGGTCCACGACAGCAGCAGGGTGCAGGACATTAGCAGGGAGTACCTGAGGGAGAAAAGAGGGGTGTGTGTGGGTCCGCACTCAGGAACAGAGGCCGCGTCAGGGACGGCAGGGGTTACTGCTGGGCCGGGGTCGCCGTCTGAGGCAGAACGGGTGTGCTGGGGTCGGTAGGATGTGGTGCTTGGGGCAGGAATAGGAGCTGGTGTCTGCTTAGAGTAGCAGAGCTGCTTCTGTGTGGATAAGCCATTCTTCCATGCTGCTTGAAGACTGGGAGCGTGATCAGTGTCTCCTCCATCCTGTGTGAGTGCGAATCTCCGGGAGTCACCATTTGGAGGGTTTCGTGATATAATGTTGTCTAGCACTCAGGATGGATGGAAACTCTAAGGTGGTTTTCTTGTATAATATAAGTTATATGATAGACAGTCTGGCGCTGGAGGTGCCGTGTGGTGAGGAGCTGCTCAGTAGGCACGTTCGGTGAGTAGCGTGTTGAAGGAGGTAGAGGTGTAGGAGCTTCGTTAGAGAAGGTGTTGCCTGTTGCTGGCCTCCAGGTTGAATGAGAACGGGACAGCGAGGAGCTTGCTTGGAGGAGGTGTTGCGTGTTCAGGAACCGAGAGCAGAATAAGAGAGCTGGTTGGTGAGGGCGCTCAGAGAAGGACAGCTTGGTGGGTCGCCATGCTCGCCGGCGGGAGCGAGGACCGCCAGGCAGGCGGAGGAGAAGCGAGGGCCGCCAGGCAGCGGCGGAGGAGGAGGTGTTGCGTGTTCAAGAAGAGAGGCCAGAATGAATCTCAATGGAGAGACAGAGCTTATATACCCAGCAGCCGTGAGTCAGCCGTGAGTCATGGTGGGAAACCCCGGGAAGTCGCCGGTCTTTTGGCTCCGTTGCTAGGATACTGTGGCATCTGGTGACGCCCCCCCCCCC